TTCAGTAAAGTCAACTAATCGCTTTAAAAAAACAACAGGTTTACTCACGTTTTAAATCGGTAAATTAATTGCTCATAAAGTAAAGGGTTAACATTCTTTTTTCATATAAAGTCAACTAATCGCTTTAAAAGCACTGGGTTTACTCACTAAATTAAGTAAAGTCAACTAATCGCTTTAAAAGCACTGGGTTTACTCACTAAATTAAGTAAAGTCAACTAATTGCTTTAAAAGCACTGGGTTTACTCACTAAATTAAGTAAAGTCAACTAATCGCTTTAAAAGCACCTGGTGTACTCACTTATTTAAGTAAAGTCAAGTAATGACTTTAAAAGCACTTGGTTTACTCACTTATTTAAGTAAAGTCAACTAATCGCTTTAAAATCACTTGGTTTGCACCATAAATTAAGGTAAAGTCAACTAATCGCTTTAAAAGCAACAGGTTTAATCACTTACTTAAGTAAAGTCAACTAATCGCTTTAAAAGCACTTGGTTTACTTACTTATTTCAGTTAAGTCAACTAATCACTTTAAAAGCACCTGGTGTACTCATTTATTTAAGTAAAGTCAACTAATCGCTTTAAAAGCACTTGGTTTACTTACTTATTTCAGTTAAGTCAACTAATCACTTTAAAAGCACCTGGTGTACTCATTTATTTAAGTAAAGTCAACTAATCGCTTTAAAAGCACTTGGTTTGCACACTAATTAAGGTAAAGTCAACTAATCACTTTAAAAGCACTGGGTTTACTCACTAAATTAAGTAAAGTCAACTAATCGCTTTAAAAGCACTGGGTTTACTCACTAAATTAAGTAAAGTCAACCAATCGCTTTAAAAACACTGGGTTTACTCACTAAATTAAGTAAAGTCAACTAATCGCTTTAAAAGCACCTGGTGTACTCACTTATTTAAGTAAAGTCAATTAATCACTTTTAAAGCACCTGGTGTACTCCCTTATTTAAGTAAAGTCAAGTAATCACTTTAAAAGCACTTGGTTTACTCACTTATTTAAGTAAAGTCAACTAATCGCTTTAAAATCACTTGGTTTGCACCATAAATTAAGGTAAAGTCAACTAATCGCTTTAAAAGCAACAGGTTTACTCACTTACTTAAGTAAATTCAACTAATTGCTTTAAAAGCACTTGGTTTACTTACATATTTCAGTAAAGTCAACTAATCACTTTAAAAACACCTGGTTTACTCACTTATTTAAGTAAAGTCAACTAATCGATTTAAAAGCAACAGGTTTACTCACTTACTTAAGTAAAGTCAACTAATCGCTTTAAAAGCACTTGGTTTACTTACTTATTTCAGTAAAGTCAACTAATCGCTTTAAAAGCACCTGGTTTACTCACTTAAGTAAAGTCAACTAATTACTTTAAAAGCACTTGGTTTACTCACTTATTTAAGTAAAAATGTCTACTTTTTTTAACTGGAAACCTTTAACCATTTACTTCCATTTACCTTTAACCATTTTCTTAATATTTGTTTTTTCAGACTATGGAAGTAAATAGCTATCGCTTTTCAGCTTTCTACAGAAGAAACATAAAGATTTGGAGCCACTTTTGGTTGAGTAAATATTGAGTATATTTTCAATTTCGTGTGAACTAACCCTTTAAGTAAAGTCAACTTTTTCTTAAATCAAAAATGAAACTTTACTTAAGTATTTATGGCCAAACACTCAAAATTGACAGGTTTATTAAAAAAGGCAAAAAAAAAAAAAAAAAAGTGAATTTGCTCAAAGTGTCTCATCTTAAAAAATATTGATATTTAGTATGACTTGTAGAAAACAAGCGTGCATTTTTTGAATGTTTTTCTCCATTGATCCCTTGAACAGTTCCCTTGGAAACATTTAATCGCACTAGAGAACAAATGACTGACTCAGCAGGCAAAAGAACAACGTGTTGAATTCTTAGCTTATTGTCCTTCTTCACTTCAACAAACCCCCGCCGAGTTCAAAGCAGGAGGAATCCTGTGGAGTGTGGGATATCAGATCAATGTTCCCCACCTCTCCATGCAAAAACACAGAGCTAGATTAATCTCCAGAAAGCCTGTTAAGAACTCAAAGCCAATAACACTGATCTGAAGAAGCTGTATAATGCTGTGCTTTTTGTCTTTTGGAACTTGTGTTGACAATCGAAAGGCCCACACAAAAGCTAAATAAAAGAAAAAAGTTTTTATTTTTGAAAGACAAAGATTTAACAAAAAAATAATAAATATTTCCCCCTCAATACTTATACATCATATTTTAGCAAACATTATTTTATGCAATTTCTTTATTTCTCACAAAATTTTACTTTCATTTTTGAGAATTATAAGAGTATGTCTTGTGGTTCTTTATTTTTCATAATTTTGTTTAGAACTGCTATTTTATTTCTTGCTTTTGTGAGTTTTTAGGCTTTCTTGCCATTCTTTATTTCTCATGATTCTGAGTTTACATCCTGCACTCATAACAGTGAAACTTTTGATCGCAAGTTTAAATGTCAGTATTTTGAAATGCAAAGTCTTAACTACAAAGTAAAACAGATAGTTGGTATTTTCAGATGTAACATTGGATTTTTTCCAAACTGGGAAAAAGACTTTAATGGATTGATAACATCTAGTTTATTTAGTTTTCTGTGGTTGTTACAGTTTTATTTTATCTTTTAAATAAGTCTAGTCTTCAAGTCTGCATTTATTTAATCAAAAGGTAAAAATGTAATGCTGTGATAAAACTGGATACAATTACTGTATAATTAAAATAGCAATTTCTAATGTGATACATTTAAATACATATATTTTTTTCTGTGATACAAATCTTCAAATTTTCAGCAGCTTCTGCATACTTCAGTATTCATTGTCACACAACCCTTAAGAAATCATTCTAATAGGTGGATTTGATTTATGCTGATTTATTAATTACAATTTGTATTATTCTTATTAACATCTAAATCATATTTAGCATTTAGAAAATATTTTTCTTTGCATTGTGACAATTCAAGGTATAGTTCACCCAAAAATTGTGATTTTTTTTACTCGTCATTTACTCCTCCATAGCTCTAAAGTTGTATTTTCAAAAACATTTTGAACGTTTGAATGTTTGTGAAAACCAACATTTTTTTTCAGGATTTCTTTAGAATGAGTGTGATTTGAAATATGTTTACAAAGTGACAGTAAGGGGTCTATTTTGACGATACATGCGCAAAGTGCAAATCGCAGGGTGCAAACGCATTAAAGGCGTGTCAGAATCCACTTTTGCCATTTTAAGGACGGAAAAATCTGCTTTGCGCCGTGGCTCATGGGCGAAAGGAGTTGAGTATTCTCCTAATGAATTATAGGTGTGTTTTGAGAATAAACCAATCAGAGTCTTATCTCCCATTCCCTTTAAGCCATTTGCTTTACATGGCGGACAGGAAAAACTGAACACTTCACTAGAGAGAAAACAGTTAGAGCATCTACAACACGAGAATGAGAGATGAGCCTCCTCATTGTTTACTTTCGCTTTCACTCTTGTGTATAGGGAAACGTGTTGTATGCACAGACATCCAGTAGCCTATACATAATTAATTTCATTTTTAAGCGCAAAGATTTGTTTCAAAACTATTTCTAAATTCAGTTCTAATTTCCAGCAAACAAATAAATGAACAATATTAACGAAGTGTGTTCAAAAAGTTATATCCAAATACCCATGCTGTGCCCCATATGGTCTAAATCCTGACAGGTGGGCAAATCTAAGCTTGTTTTTAATAAAACAAATATAAATATGCAAATAATAAATATTACTACTAATAATAATAATATTAAACAAAAGCAAATTGTTATGAATAAACTAAAAAAGCCCCCGAGATGAAGAAGGCATAAAAGTATGTTTTTTTATATTCATGTACGCTAGAAAATAATATTTTTAAAATTATTTTAATTATTTAATTCTTTTTCAGTTGTAAATATATTTGCATATTGCTGTACATCCTGTGTGTATTAAGCAGTGTGTAAGTGAGGGGTACAACTAACACGCTCTGGGCTGGACAATAGACCAGCTTCGATCTGATCTATTGAAACGTCTATTAGAGTCGCCTAAAATAGCAACGAGCCAGCAATGCACCTCAACACGCCTCCTTTTTTAGACTAGAACGCCTATGGGCGCACATATGAGCGCAAATGCATTTGCTATTTAAACAGTGTGGCGCAAAACGTCAAAACTACTCTTGCGCCGAGCTGGAACTAGCAAACAACATTTGCATCGTGCCTTGCGCCACATTGCGTCAGCTGTATGATAGGGCCCTATGTGTTAACAAATGTTACTTTAGCAACAAAAACATTTTCAACATAATAGGCCTATTTATTATGGAGCGAATCAGAATGATTTTCAGAACAAACAATAATGCCAATGATTTGCTGAGAAATCAGCTTTACTATCACAGGAACGTTTTTATTTACACAGATGTTTAAATAGATGCTGATATGTAAATTGTAATAATATATTTAACATGCTTATGCAATAAGATTTAGCATCAAAATTAGTCAATTACTGAAAATGATTATTCTTTTAAATATACTTAAATATTGCTGAGGCTCCCTACCTTCCATTCCTAAACAATGAATCAGTGTAACATCGATTCCTTTGCAGAAAACTTTTTGAACCAGCATTTCTAAGTGTGTATTGGCACAGGCAAATTGAGACCTTGAGCTACTAAAAGATTAACAAAACAGAGATATCTTGATTTTCGCATCTTTTGATGAGCTTTAATCGCTATTAATGAAGCCAATCAATCATTGCAAGGATAGCGAGATGTAAGTGATCCTGGTATCGGTGTGTGTGTGTGTGTGTGTGTGTGTGTGTGTGTGTGTGTGTGTGGAGTAGAGAGGGAGAGGTGTGAGTCCAGAGCTCCTCCCTGCTGATTGTGGAGAGCAGCGCTCATTCAGGCGCATTGTTTGAGAGGAGCGGTTCAAACGCCCCACACAGAGAACCTCCTTTTCTCATGGAAATAAAGTGTCTGCTTCTCATTCACACATGAGTTTCTGTAATGCAAAGAAGTCGAGCGCGCAGGAAGAAAACACATCACTGAGTGAAGTTAAGAGGGAGGAGCACGCGGGACCGGAGTCTTGGAGAGACACTTTGGATCTCCGGACGCGCACGCCAGCCTAATGAGGGCATTTATTCAGTGAAGTTGATGCTTTATTGCTGATATTTCACCATGTTTGCCCGTGGACGTTGTGCGGTTGTGTTGGGGCTGCTGTGTGCCGCCGCGGTCTCCGCTGGCGCATTGGTGTGTCCGACTGGTTGTGAATGTTCGGAAGCAGCCCTGACGGTCAAATGCGTCTCCAAAGATCTGCGGGACATACCGAGCGGCATTCCGGGTTACACCAGAAACCTCTTCATCACCGGCAACCACATCAGTCAGATCGGACCCGAGTCTTTCCAGGGGCTGGAGAATGTGACGAATTTGTCTCTGTCTAACAACAGGTAGCGTATCTGAAATCTTAAGATGTAAATCATGTGGAATCAATATAGCATTTCTTTAAAACTGTGAGCTTTCTGTTATTTTAATGAATAAAATCAAGTTATTAATTTAAGTGTGTCTTCGGTATTAAATATCCCAGATAGCCTTTTTTAACTTGGTGTTTGTTTCAAATGAGTTAAATTATATACACTTAGCGGCACAATTTATGACTATGTAAGACTTATATGAAAAAAAAGTGGAGTAGGAATCTATTAATCGAGGATGTGACTACATAATTAAGGACCAGATGTGAAACTGCTATCCGTAATATTGAGTCAATGCATCTTTGTCAGTGAAGATTCCTAACTCAGATATTATTCAATTTAGAAAGTTTCTGTAAAAAAGGTTAGGCAAAGTAAAATCATTCTGTAAATATACAGTTTTTCAAAATGTTATATAACCTTACATCATAAGATGCCCCCTCATTTTTCGTGGTAGTTCTGAACCTGCAACATGACTTTAAAAACTGTTTTACTGGAAAGTAGAAATGTTACTTGCGCAAAAATTAAAAATATATATATTATAATATTGTAGCAAAGAATTCTTACAGAACTGTTCACTGAAAGACTCTGATTAACAAAACATGGTTCTTCTATATCATTGTGAAAACCCCATTTTGGAACCTTTTTTTCTTAAAGTGTACAAGGAAAGGTTCTTTATTGGCATGTATGGTTCCACCAAGAACCTAGAACATCATGGAAACTTTCCATTGCACAAAATATTCTTTATTAAAATTCTCTTTTAGGAACTGTTGACTACATAGTTCGTTGGAGGACCAAAATAGTTTTTCTGCACTGCTATAAAACACACTATTCTAAAACATTTGTAGTATCATGTAAAATAATTTTTTCTCTCCTTCAAGGATCTCTGAGGTGAAGTCTCACACATTTTCCAGCTTGCGGAGCCTCAGATCGCTGGACCTCAGCAACAACCAGCTGGCTGTCATCCATCCTGAGGCATTCACTGTCCAGAGCCGTATGCTGAGGGAGCTCAACCTCAGCCGGGCTCTCTACAACCACTCATCTGTCATGGATTTAGCCACTTCTCTTCGCTGGAGCAGCTTGAGTGACCTGCTGGTGCTGGACCTGTCCAGTAATGGCCTTGTCTTCTTGCCCTCTGGCATTTTTTGCCATCTTGTCGGCCTGCGGCGCCTTCAGCTTGGCAACAACTCTATAGTGTCTATACATAACGGCACATTCACAGGACTGGATCACCTCCAGGAGCTCGATCTCACCCACAATGCCCTCAGGACCTTGCGTGAGGAGGCTCTAAAAGAGTTGGAGCAATTGCATTCGGCAAGGCTTCATTTGGCGGACAATCCGTTCACCTGCACATGTGACATTGAACCATTTGCCGCCTGGCTCAATGGCTCTCGAGGGCAAGTAGTGGACATCGAGGGCTTGACTTGTGCGTTTCCTGTCGCCTTGCACAACACATCGCTCTTGACGGTGGGCGACCTGGAGTTGGGTTGCCATAAAGCAGGAGACAGCGACAACCTTGCGCTACAGACCTCTTACGTGTTCCTGGGTCTGGTGCTGGGATTTGTTGGTCTCATGTTTCTATTTGTCCTTTACCTGAACCGCAAAGACATTAAGAAGCGGATTTACGACATGCGGGATGCATGCCGGGAAGTCTGGGAAGGGTACCACTACCGATACGAGATTGACTCAGATCCTAGATTGTCGCAAGTGTCTTCAACAGCCGATGTGTGATCAGACACAAGCTCTTCCTAAACCAAGCTCCTTATATAAACTTTTTTCTAGCACTTTACTTGAAAGGGTGTTCAGAAGACTGTCATGAAAACTTTACAATCATGACACAACACATGCCTAGAATGTAAATGAGACTTTATGGATGGTTATGACAACTGTCATTAAGCGTCATTCGCTCAGTCATTTTAAATGCAACGATGACACTGTTTAAGGTGTCTTTATCACAACTTGACATTAACAAATATATCAAGTCTGTGTTGTGACGACATTACCAAGATAACAGACCTTGTCATAAACCTATCATAAACATGATTGTTATGAAGCCATTGTTTCATATATTTTATTACACCATCATTAATATTTTTTTTATGTTAGCTACTGTGAAACTAGTTGAATTTGTCATAAAAATGTTATTAAATGCTATTAAATATTAAGGACGCTGTTATGAAAATATTTGACAGAGTATTGGCACTTTTACTAATTTCAATGACTAAAGGTTGATTTATACTACTGTGGCTAACACCAATGCTCTGCGATTGGTCGGCTTGGTAGCTGTGACCAATGAGGTTGGGGCCAAGAGCTGCACGAACCCGTAGGAGCGAGTGTTTACAAGTGTTGAGTGCTGTGAATAAGCTCTACTGGTTTTGGTTTTTCTTATGATTAAAGTAGACGCCTGTCCATGAGTTTCCACCTCAGAATGAGCGAGTTTTAGCTACTTGTACACCCTCAAAAATAAAGGTACATAAGCTGTCACTAGGGTGGTACTTTTTCAAAAGGTACACATTTGTACACAAAGGGTCCATATTGGTACCTCAAAAGTATATATTAGAACCTAAACATTTTAGGAGGAGCACTTTTGTGCTTTCTAAGTACTAATATGTACCATTGACATATTAATATGGACCTTTTAAGGTACAAATTGGTAGCTTTTGAAAAGGTACCATCCTAGTGACAGCTCACATACCTTTGTTTATTGAAAGTGTACATTAAGGTAGTGTTCAGGAAAAATAAAACACCCTCAAATAAACACAACACAGAGGAACAAAAAAACCTACTGCCAGCTAGCATTTCGGAAGTGTTATTGCAAAGCAACTCAAACAGCACGCATATATATATATATATACATTAAATATATATATAATAATACACGGCTATGTGTAAGTGAGGTGCCATGGGTCACACCAATCACTCAATGCAGAAGTATAAACCAGCCTTAATTTAACTTGTTCCACTAAAAAAAATATAAAATATATATTCCTGACGCATCATTAATGGCCTCATGACATTCATGTTTATGACAGGTTTATGACAAGTTAGTAATGTCAAGTTATGACTTGGTAATATCAAGTTGTCATGGCAAAGACAGGTTAAGAGGTATAAGTTTATGTCAAATTGTGATAACAAAGGCATCTTTGCCTTTGACACCCAATGACACCCAGTGACAGTCATAACCATGCATAAAACCTCCATATATTCTTATAAAGCTGTCTTGACAGTCTTATGAACACCCCGTTCAAGTATAGTGTCACCAACTTGTTTTCTGTTGCATTTTTACTTGGGGTGGGAAAAGAACACCCGTTTGTTCTAAACATGTAGAGATATTTAAATAGCCCCATTTCTTATGAAAAGCATGTCATGTTGCAGTGTTTAACAAGCACACCTCCCCCTCGAGTCCGCACAGAATTGGCCCCAAGATGCATTTGCTTCTCAATCATCATGGGATGTTTGAGGATTAGCCCAATAAAAGGGCAGAAGCCATAAAATAACTCTGACCACCACCACCACCACCACACCCCCCACCAATCTCCATTGTCCTGTACTGGAATATTGCCCACCTCTCTGGTGCTTAAGTGCCTTGTTTATTGGATTTAAGAGGCCAACCGGCTTCAAAAAGGGACGACTCATATATATAAATATAAACATACATGTGTACTGTGCTGTTTGTGAAGTTTTAAGGAGCGTTTTATTGCATGCTTTTGCAACCCTGTTTTTATGGAAGTGTATGCAATTCTAGCGTCGGACCCTGAGCAACAGAATTAGCAGCCTTCTATGGTCCTTTCTGTCCCTCTATCCACAGGGAGTCTGCAAAGAATGTGCCGGATTTTCTCTCCAAAAGCATTCCAGCAGGAGGATAACCTCCTCTAAGCTCCAGAAGGAGGATCTTTTGAAGAAAGAGACCCCGTTTGCAGAAATCTCTGGCTGCATTTTTTTTTTTTCGTTCAAAAGAGACGTTTTGCTTTGTTTTTATTCCACTCATTTTTATTGTCAGAATGATGAGAACCAGCCCTTGCGAGGGCCGCTGAGTGAGACCCCTCCTCCATGAAGTCTGCTCGCTCTTTGAAGACTCAGCCTGGCTCAGTTCCTCATATGTTCCCCAGCTTTTTCTGTTTAAGGGACTTTACGGTGATAAGATACAGATGAAGCTGGGGCCGTTGTGTGCTGAAGGGTCCCTTGCTCTGTTTTTTGAGTACTGCTTCCAAATGTGAAAGACTGAAAAGAAATATCCTTGATGTCGTGTGCCAATGTGCTGGACTTTACTTGTGTTTGGATGACACACATTTATGCAGCATATGTTTGTCAAAAGACTAGGCTCGTCGTCATTTGAGTGAATCTCACAAAGTGGAGAATTTTCTAGTATAAATCATTTTTACCTTCTAATCAAATTAAAAAAATAATTCATTTATTGCGTTTAAAAAAAGTTTTTTCTCTGCATTGTGACAATTCAAGTAATTGTTCACCCAAAAATTGTGATTGTTTACTCATCATTTGCTCCTTCTCCATAGCTCTAAAGTTGTATTTTTCAAAAGCATTTTGAAGAATGTTGGTAACCAAGTAGATAGACTGCAAAAGCTGATTTATACTTCTGAGTCAAGCGCACGCATAGGGCTCTGATGCAGCCTGCGTGTGGTCGCATAGCCCTTAACGTGGCTTTCGCCGACGCTGATGAGCACCTCTCAAAAAATGTAACTACACATAGTGCAAGCTCTGTGATTGGTCAGCTTGGTAGTGGTGACGAGAGTATGGGCAGTGATAAGAGCCACAAGCCTGATGGAGTGAGTGTTTACAAGTGTGGAGTCCTGTAAAGGAGCTTCAGGTGGAATCTTTGTTTTGTGTTTACCTTATGTAAGTTGTTACACGTCTGCCGGTTCCTGCCTCTGAATGAGCGAGTTTGAGCCACTTGTAATGTTCAGGAAAAACAAAACACCAGCGATGAACTTGACACAGAATATAAACACCTACTGCCAGCTAGCGTTTCAGAAGTATTATTGCAGAGCTGTAGGTAACGCCCTTCATATGACACAGAAGTATAAACCAGCCTTAACCCAGCTATTACTTTGTCTGAAAAGTAACTTAATAAATTTAATTACATGACTCAATACTAAAGATCTACATAAATATCAATGTGTACAGAATTTAAACTCATTCATTTTTCTTCGGCTTAGTCTCTATTTTAGCGGTCGTCACTGCGGAATGAACTGACAACTATTACAGCATATGTTTTTGGGAAATACCAACTCACTATTGCGAAACACCAACGTAATCATACAGCAATTCGTAACTTTTTGATTTAGTGGCTTATTCGTATGAATTCGTACGATCTAATTCGTACAATTTGCTCATCACCCAATGAGTTGAGGTTAGGGGAGGGGTTAGGTGCCACGCCCTCTTTTTTAAAATCTTAAATTTTCATACAACTGAACTCGCACAAATTAGCCATGTAAACTGACAAAACGTAAAATACTTATGTTTCCTCGTGAGATCAGGCTGGAAACACCCATATACACACACACACACACACACTACAAACAATTTAGCTTACCCAATTTACCTATAGCACATGTCTCCGGAAAAACTAAAGCACCCAGAGGAAACCCACGCCAACACAAGGGGGAACATGCAAACTCCACACAGAGTGCCAACTTGCCTAGCTTGCCAACTTATCTAGCTGGTACTCAAACCAGCAACCTTCTTGCTGTGAGGCAACAACCACTGAGCCACCATGCTGCCCCGAATTGAAACTCTTAATTCTTTACATTTGAGTCTTTTTTTTAAGGAGCTTTTAGTTAAACACAAAAGGCTTCAAATTGATATCATATTTAAATCAAATCGTGTTGTTTTCTAAGCATGTGCTGTTGTCAGACAAATAAAACCATGTGTCAATAACAGAAAAATATGTTTACTTTTTCTCTGCTTCTCTAAATCTGTATATCCCTTACATTGTCAGCAATTCATTTCTCATTTTTTTTAATTCTGAAAAATTTGCTTTGTTTTCTTGATAAATTATAAACGTTCTTTAGTTGAAAAATAATATTAATCTGCAAAATATCTTATATATTACACTTAGCAATGCTGTAACCATTGAGTTCTATGGCATTTATTTTCCCTACAAGGAAGTCAACTATTTGGTTACTGACATTCTTCAAAATCTCTTCTTTTGTGTTCATCATAATAAAGAAACGGAGCAACAATAGGATGAGTACATAGTAAGTAAATGTATTTTTGGGTGCACCTAATAAATCCAGACAAAAAGCTCTATATTAACTTTTACATAGTGCATATGATTGTATTATTTGTGTAACATATTTACATGCATTTATTTTTATGTAAAATTGAATATTTCTTTGTGAGATTCACCCATTTGGCAGCACTGTTTTTGAATCATTATCTATAAAACAACGTCACATCTTAGCCTAGAGAATCTTGGTGCCTGATGAACTATTCACATTAATGAAATTTGCAACATAGAAAATCTGGTCTTCCATTGTGATTTATAGCTTCATACTCATGCGTTATTCATTATATTCAAATGAATCTTTCTATAAAGAGGTAAGGAAAACCTTTTAAGTTGAATGCCAAACACAAAATGTTTACTTCTGAATTGATCAGGTATGCAGTGCAAAACAACACTTTTTGTGGATGTGTCATGCATCGCATGGGCAAATAAATTGTCTTTCTTCAGGGGAGAGTTTATTTTGCATGCTACAAAAATAAAAGTTTTTCAATTTGAAATTTAAACAAGTCTCCATTTCGCTTCTTTCTGGTCTGATGGACGTTTAAAGTGTGTCTTTTGTTGCCTGTAGTAATTATATTGAGGAGGATTTATTTAGTTTCTTGTTAACAGGACAGCTTGTAGATATTTTTTTTGGGATTTGTTGAACACAAAGTCTTACTTCATTTAAATGTTTTGTACTTTAAGAAAAAAGAAATGTATTGACCTCATATTCAGTTTCTCTTAGCGTTTCTCCTTCAAATCCAAAATTAAATCACACACACACACACAGTGCAGTATGAACACAGTGACAGTGCATTAACATAATAATCTTGATGCTGTGACATTATTCTCGCACATAAAGAGCCTTTACCAAGAGCTTGCAGAGGTGTTTCATAACTGATAATAACTATGAGCAGGCTTAGTCACATTTTTACGGCTGCAAATCTCCACATGCAACACG